GGTGTTAGTGTGCTGACTTGGAGAACTAACTGGCGAGGAAACAAACTGTAGAAATAAACGGGTCATTTTCTCAGTGGGAGCCAGCGGGGTACTGCAGAGATCAGTACAAGGACTGCAGCTATTCACAATATATATTAATGATTTGGATAAGGAAACTAAACATAATATCTCCGAGGTTTCAGTCAACACAAAGCTGGGTGCGAGGGTGAACTGCGAGTAGGATGCAGAGAAGCCTCAGTGTGATTTACACAAGTTGTGTGATTGCGCAAATGCACGGTACCTGAAGTATAAGAGGCATTATCCACATGGTTGCAAAAACAGGAAGACAGTTTATTATCTGAATGGCAACAGATTGGGAAAGGGGGAGGTGCAACAAGACCTGGGAATCCTGGGAATCACTGAAAGTATGCATCCCACTACAGCAGGAGGTGAAGATGACAAATGGGATGTTAGCCTTCATTGTGAGAAGATACAAGTACAGAAACAATGGTACAGTGCCTTGGTGAAACCACACCTGGAGTAGTGTGCAGTTTTAGGTCTCCTTGTCATAGTCACACAGCATGGAAACAGATCTTCAGTCCAACTGTAATCCCAAACTAAATGAGTCCCACTCACCTGCTCCTGGCCCAAACCTTTCCTATTCACGTACTTACCTAAGTGTCTTTTAAACATTGTAATTATGCCTACATCCACAACTTCCACAGGAAGTTCATTTCACAAGTGAACCAGCCTCTGTATAAAAAAATTCCCCCAACGGTTTTTTTTAAAACTTCTTCCTCTCACCTTAACAACATGTTAAGTCTCACACTAACACACTAACACCTCCCACCCCAGCCCCAATCCCATTCACATTAGGGTCTCCCATGGGAGACCCTAGTCTTGAAACATCCCAATCTAGGGAAAAGACACATACAATTTATCACATCTATGCACTTCATGATTTTATAAACCTCTATAAGGTCACCCCTCAACCTCCTATGCTCCAGTGAAAAAGGTCCTAGCCTTTCTTTATAGCTCAAACCTTCCATACCCAGCAACATCCTGGTAATTCTCTTCTGAACCTCTCTACCTTAATAATATCCTTCCTATAACAGGGTGACCAGAACTGGGCACAGTACTCCAGAAGAGGTCTCACTAATATCCTGTACAGCCTCAACGTGACTTTCCAACGCCTATACTCAAAGGACAGAGTAATGAAGGCAAATGTTCTAAACGCCTTTTTAACCACCTTGTCAATATGTGATACAAACTTCAAAGAATTATGTACCTGCACCCCTAGGTCCCTCTGTTCTACAACACTACCCAAAGCCCTACCATTAATTGTATAAGTCCTGCCCCTGTTTGTTGTACAAAAATGCAATACCTTGCATTTATCCAAATTGAACTCCATCTGCCATTTCTCAGCTTATTGACCTACTTGATCAAGATTCTTTTGTAGTCTTAGAAAATTTTTTTCACTTTGTCTGAGGAAGGATGTTCTGGCTGTGGAGGGAGTGCAATAAAGATTTACCAGGCTGATTCCGAGGATGGCTGGTCTGATGTACAAAGAGATGCTGGTTTAGTTTGCACTATATTCACTGGAATTTAGAAGAATAAGGGAGGAATCTCATGGAAATCTACCCTAATAGGGCTATACAAGAGAAATGATTCCCCATTAGTGGGGAGTCCAAAATCAAGGCTCACAGTCTAAAGATAAGGAGTAGGTCATTTAGGACAGATGGGGAAAAATTTATTTACCTAGAAAGTGCTGAGTCTCTGGAATCCTCTGCTACAGAAAGTGGTTGAGGTCAAAACATTGAATGTTTTCAAAAAGGAGGTAGCTATAGCTTGTACGGCTGAAGGGATCAACGATTATGAGGCGAATGGTGGAATGGGCTGAAAGGGCCAAATGGCCCATTCCTGTTCCTATTTTCTATATGAGTGTGTTTGGAGGCATGAGTTGTGGGGATGGGAAGTGGAGTTTCCAAAGTTAAGCTGCGAAAAACATATTAATTCCTGCAGACCATACAAACTTCATTAAAGGAGAAATTTATATTACACCCCATGACCCATGTAATCTCTGAATTTTCCTTTGTTGGCCCTGGGTTTCTTCTAGGTATCTTATACCTCTTTCAGGTGTTTTGATGGTCATTGGAGGTTGGAGAAGTCTCGCTATTATGTTACTGGCATGAGTGTGGGATGGCCTTTACTGGCCAGCACATCTTTTCCTGCTGATTGTTTTCACATGTTTCAGGCAGGCAAGCACAATGAAAGGCTCTTTAATTCTTCCCAACAATCCTTCTCCTAACATCTTCCTTGCATCAGAACATTGAATGAACTTCAAATGTACTTAGTTGGTTGTAAAGCACTTTAGGATTTCCTGAAGTTGTTTAAGTCTTTGTTTTTCACTCCATCATATGAACAGCAACTTCCCTCTTCAAAATAAAACATATAACACCCCAAAGCACTTCACAGAAGCATAATAAAGCAAAAAACAGAAGCCAAATCAAACAGGACATTATGAACAGTGACTGAGAAAAATGATCAAAGATGTCGATTTTTAAGAAAAACCTTAAAGGAGAAGTACAGTTAAGGAGAATTCCCGAGCTTGTGGCTCATACAGCTGAAGGCATACTCATCAATTACAGAGCTGAGAAAGTGGGTAATGCACAAGACTGAGGTGATATGGAATTGGAGGAAGATGTAGCAGTGAAGCTGCAAAGGGATTTAAAACAAGAAGCTAAGCAACAGCCAAGACTAAAATCATTAATGAAAGACCAAACAAACCTGTTGACAGAGATAGAGCTGGTTCTTTTTCTTTCCTTCCTTTCTCATACTCATTCTGTTCATTACATTGATTTGATCCTTCCAGGGTATCTACAGCCTTTTGTTCATGTTTTCTATAAAAGGAGAATAAAATGTTAGATCAAAAGGAAACCCAGCTTCTCTTTTGTAGGGCAAATTGAATATACTGAATCTGTTGATAAGACTCATATAAGTTTAGTACCCCACAACTGGCCCAGACATTCCCAAAGCTGGTTTCTCGTCTCTGAAGTGTAGGCTGGAGTTGTGCATCAGGACCATTCCCAATCACTGACACAGCTAATGCTGTGGGAATTGTCTGGGAAATCTAAACATGTACAGGGCAATTCCCCGCCTTCTAGGCCTCTCTTAAAAAACCCCTTAAAGTTAGAAACTTCAGAGTCTTCAGCTCAGTTAGACTTAACAGTTACCGAGGAAACACCAGGGGATTAAAAATGTATAATAGCTCCCAGGAAACCATTAAACTGACCTCCCCAATTGTACATGAATAACTTGACACCCTTAACACCTGACACTGTACTTGACATGTATCATTCATCTCCCTCCATCCCAGAACCAATGTAGTTCTTGAGGACCAAATACCCACAACGCCACCCATTGGTCTGGCCACTTGCCTCCCCAAAACCCAGACCCAACAAAAATCCTCACCATTAACCTGACCCTACCTCACTGGACATGTCAGACACAACATGACCCTCCCTGAAACATTGTTAGCCATCAGATATTGAAACAATCCATGATTACATGCATAATGACCTGGATAATATTCCAACTTAGGCTGACAAGTGGCAAGTAACATTTATGCTACACAAGTGCCAGGCAATGGCCATCACCAACAAGAGAGAATTTAACCATCGCCTTTTGACACTCAGTGGCATTACCATCACTGAAGCCTCCACTATCAACATCCTGCCGATTACCTTTGATCAGTAACTGAACTGGACCAGCCATATAAATACAATGATTAAAACAGCAAATCAGAGGCTGGAAATTCTGTGATGAGTAACGCACCTCTGGGCTCCCCAAAGCCTGCTCAATATTTACAAGGCATAAGTCAGGAGTGTATCGGAATCCTCCCCATTTGCCTAGATGTGTGGAGCTTCTATGATGCTTAGGGACCTTGATACCATCCAGGACAAAGCAGCTTACTTAATTGACACCCCATCTACCAGTTTCAAAATTCCATCCCTCTACCTCTTTTGCGGCAGCAGTATGTAACACCTACAAGATGCACTGCAGTAACTGACCAGGATTTCTTGACAGGCCCTTCCAAACACAACACCTGTACCACAGTGAAGGACAAGGACAGTTGATACATGGGAACACCATCGCCTGCAAGATCCCCTCCAAGCCACTCACCATCCTGACTTGAAATATATTGCTGTTCCTTCACTGTCACTGGGTCAAAATCCTGGAACTCCCTTCCTAACAGCATTGTGGATATCCCTACATCCAACAACTGCGGTGGTTCAAGAAGACAGCTCGGCACTATCTTCTCCTGGTCTAACCAGGAATGGCCACATCCCAGAAAGTTATAGGGGAAAAAAATCCCAACTCCTCAGATCCTCAAAAGTGTTTCTATGGACCTTGAGATACAGTCAAAAACTGAACTGAACTAAACTTCTCGAGAAACTGCTATAAACAAAGTCTGTGAAGTGATTCAAGCTCTCCAATGTAGCAAAAAAAGAAAACTAATCAAAAACCTATTTGTGGAAAATAAAAACACTATCTTTACATTAACATTTCCCAATTAGTAAAATCCAAAATGATTTGACTAAAATGAACTGGCAATCACAACATCAACTTCCAACTTTATTCCTGTTATACACAATAATTTCCTGTCTCTTGCATTTTATACATTCCCTCTACCTCTGCCAACCCACACTGTCTTATATCCTGCTCAGCTCTGCCCTCTGGCCCTTCCTACTAAGCCTTGTTGCTTTACTACTTCTCCACAAAATTCATTCCATCAATTATCCTTCTGATAATTTTTCCTAATGTTCAAGCTGCTTTCTCAAATTGAATGCATTTAATTATACCAATGCAGTAACACAAATGTAGTGTGGTTAACAAATGCAGTTTGTTCTTTTAATAAACTTACATAGCTGAAATTTGTGGTGACAGGTCTGAAATTTTTATCTCAAACTGCAATAGAAAAAATTGAAAAAGTTAAAGCAATTCACAAGATTAAAAAAGAGCATAAAATTAAGAGAAGGCAGAATTAAGCAGCTCATAACCCGAAACTATGTAGAAATCACAATAGTTTTGGGCAAAACAGATTATTTAAATAACGGAGATCAAAATTAATAAACTAAAATATCAAACAGTGAACTCAGACTTAAACTACAAGTTAATGCCTGGGGATCAAACCGACTATCTAACAAGAACCAGAAACAGACTGAATTCCACTGATACTACCGCATTTACTTTAAATGTGAACATGCTGAAAAGTTCATCTGATGTGTCAACCTAGAGGATTGTGTGTAAAGAATCAAAATATTATGCTAGGCATCAGGGAATTGATAGCAATGTTCTAAGCTCACTAATGTTACCCTGTCATAGGATCACACAGTTCTCTAACAGTCTAACATATCTTACTGTCTTTTAGGTTCTTACCTCAGTCTGTATACTTCCTGAAGCTTGGTGAATTACACATTTTATGATCAGACCTTTACAGTCACTGCTCATACATTTCATTGAACAGAAATCCTGAAATATATAAAAATAAATGAATTCATTTTTGTTTTTGAAGTCAAGGCAAATGCAGAATAAAACTTGAGGCCTGATTTTCAGAGCTGTGGAACTTCAAAAATGGTGGTGGGACCTGGACTTGAAAATCCAGTTCCTATTTCTGGCAGATTCCAATTTTTGCCAGAAGAGGGAAGGGTGTGATCCAAATAGTTGTAAAACCTGAACTCAGCAGGGACATTTGAATTTAATTGCTGAGTTTAAAGAGGCTCTGTTTTGGCTGTTCCAGCACCTTAATCTTCAGTGGGGGAGTCACAATTTGATGGAACAGGTTCACACAACTTGAAGGGCAAGTCAGAATCTGTTTCAGTGTCATTATGTTTTCTTTTAAATTTTGCACTCTAAACTTTGAAAAGAAAAGCTTAAACTGTCAGTGAAAGATGAAAAAAAAAAACTTTTATTTTCAGGCCATATAACAGGTTAGAAAAAAAACATAACTACCTGTTCCACACTTTCCCCAGAGCTCTTTAATGACATTTCCCAAGAGCTATTGTTATACTATTACAAATACCATGCTGAGTTTCCAAAGGTTCAAAAGCATATATCACAGCAAAGGGCTCTGGGTTCAGAGCTTGATTATTAGTTTGGAGATGATCTTGAAGGATCTGGCTACTGAATAGAGATGTGTTTGTTTTTGTAGTATATTATTTGAAGAAATTTGAAAGCCTTGATGAAGAACAGTGAAAGTAGGGGTACAAGTCTAAAGAAGTTGCAGGAGCAGAGAGACTGGAATGTATTTGCACACAGATCGTTGAATATGGCGGGAGAGGTAAACAGAGCTTTAAGTAAAGAATAAAGGATCCTTGGCTTTATTAACAGGGCCATAGAATACAAGAGCAAAGATGGGGTGTTGAACTTGTGTAAAACACTTGTTACACCTTAACTGGAGTATTGAGTACAATGAAGTAAACGAAATGGAGAGTTTGTAGAGACAGTCTAGAAGAATGGTTTCAGGGATAAGAAATGTCAGTTATGGAGGGTAAATTGAAGAAGTTGGGATTGTTGAGATTGTCCTTGGAGAGAAGAAGGCTGAGAGGGGCCTTGATAAAAGTTTTCAAAATTATGAGTAGTTGGATTGTGTAGATATGATGGAAGCTGTTACTACTCGTAAACAAAAGAGTATGGATGTAAAGTGATCTGCAAAAGAAGCAAGGGTGAAGTGAGGAAAAACATTTTCACTCAGTGAGTAGTTAGGGTATAGAATGCATTGCCTGACAGTGTGGAGAGGCAAGTTCAATGCAGACATTCCAGAGGACACTGAATGATCATTTGGCTTAAATTACATGCAAAGGTATAGGGGAGAAAGCAGATTTCTAGGCAATCATTTAACAAGTTAGTGCAGGCACAATACACCAATTGGCCTTCTTCTGTGCCATAATACTTCTGTGATTCTGAGACACCAGCAACAATGTTTAATTTAGTGGTGGCATGCTTTATATTGTATTTCCTGCCCTCTTCCTGTTAAAACAGATAAAATAAATAGAATGAAAAGTATTTCTTACCTGATTAGATTTTCCATGATACTGAGTCTCCTTTAACCTTTTCCAGCAAGTAAGATGATAGGCTATCAAGCAATAAGAGTCACAGCAAAATTCTATATAGCCCTGAAATGAGGCAAAGTGATATGCATATACGTGTCAAATTTCATAGATATAAAAATAAATATTTCTTCCTGTATTTTTGGAAGAATTCAAGAAAAAGAGGAAAATGTTGAATTTTCAGAAACATTTTGTTAAACTTACTGAACTGTTGAAGTTTAATGAGATTAATATTGAAGGACAACAGTAAACAGGAGAATGGACAAGGATTTTGTCAAAATTTAATAGACATTGGATGCTTCTTGTTGACAGTATCCAAACTGAGGCCCAATAATAAGCAGGTTTTCCTTCAGCTTTTCTGCATCCTTTATTGTATGTGGCTTTTATTGCAAGAGCATATTACCAAAAGCTATAACAGTAGAAGTGAGCCATTCAACCCACTGAGTCTGCTCCACCATTCGCTGAGATTATGGCTGATTTGATAGTCTTCAATTCCACTTTTCTGCCTTTTCTCCAGAACCCTGGATTCCTCCACTGATTAAAAATCTGTCTATCTCAGCCTTGAACATACTTAACGAACCAGCCCTCACAACCCTCCAAAATGTACAACCTCACATTTCCTATATGATGTTCCACCTGCCAAAATTTTGTCTGCTCACTTAATCTATCTACCCCGCTGCAGACAGTTATGGCATCCTCAGTACTTGCCCAGCCCACTGATTTCTGTGTCATCTGGTAATACTACGTTTGCTTCCCACATCCACGTTATTAACATATACTGGCCCCAACACTGATCCCTGATACTCTACCAGTCAGGTCACCATTAAATTAGAACTTTTTTAAAATTAGAATCCCTGCAATGTGGAAACAGGCCCTTTGGCCCAACAAGTCCACACCGACCCTTGGAACATCCCACCCAGACCCATCCCCCTATAACCCACCTAATCTACACATCCCTGAACACTATGGGCAATTTAGCCTGGCCAATTCACTTAACCTGCACATCTTTGGATTGTGGGAGGAAACCGGAGCACCCGGAAGAAACCCACACAGACACGGGGAGAACGTGCAAACTCCACACAGACAGTCACCGGAGGGTCTAATTGAACCTGGGTCCCTGGCGCTGTGAGGCTGCAGTGCTAACCACTGAGCTACCATGCCATCCTGAAAATATTCTCTTTATCCTAACTCTGTGCCTTCCATTAGTTAGCCAATCTTCTGTACAAATATACTACTATCAATACACAGGCTGTTGTCTTATTAATTAGCCTAATGTGCAGTACCTTATCTTTTAGAAATCCAAATATATTACATCTACTGGTTCCCATTTACCTCCCCTTGCTTATTACCTCCTCAAAAAATTCTAATAAATTTGTCAGGCATGACTCCCTTCATGAAGCCATGTTGACTCAGCTTAATTATATCACATGTTTAGAATCATAGAAAATAGAAACAGCAGTAGACCATTTGGCCCTTTGACGCAGCTCAGCAATTCAATATGATTATGGCAGGTTATCTTACTCGGTCCCTTGTTTCCAATTTCACCCCACACCTTTTGATCCCTGTAGCCCTAAGAACTATATCGAACTCCTTCTTGAAAACATTACTTCCCTCATCCAAATCATTAATATATACTGGCTCCAACATTGATCCCTGTGGTATTCCACTAGTTACAGGTTGCTATCTTGAAAATGTTGCCTTGATCCCAACTCTGTGCCTTCTATTAATCAGCTAATATTGAAGCTAATATACTACCACCAACACAATTGCTCTGATTTTATTTCAGTAGCTAACTGCTTTTACCAACTGCTTTTCTATTAAAGTCCATTATAATGGATGTAATCTTTTTCCAAGGATATGTTAAGCTAACTGACCTACATTGTTACCTATGTTTTATCATTTTTCCTTTTTGACTAAGCATGCTCTCTTATCTCCTTCCTCCAGAACTTTTCCACATTATAAAGGATTCTTGGAAGATTACTACCAGTGCTTCCACCATTGCTGGAGCTGCTTCCTTTAATATCTTAGGATGTAACTCAACGGTCTAGGGGACCTATCAGCCTTTAACCCCATTAGTTTCCTGGAAGATTATTTTTTATTCATTTATGGAATGTGGGTGTTGCTCTCTCATATAACACTCTGCTGCATTTCTTCCAATTACACCAACTGAGCAAGTCTGTTACTTAATTTCCAAATCTACATTTTTATCTTTTGCTACCAAACCCAGGTCTTAGAACTGGACATTTTCTCAAGTCTTCATCCATAAGCTTTATGTCTTCAATGTGATCTTCTTCCCTTGGCCAAAACTGATAATTCATAAATTGGATCTTGGGGCCGTTGATCTTCACATCCTTGTCTTCGAGTATGCTTCTCCAGTTTTCCAGATACTCAGTCATGTTCTCATCATCACCGTCACATAGCTTGGTCTTCCTGATATTTCTTAGCAACTTGTCTCAAAACAAAAAAATGTTTTGATTCTTCTGGGCTTTAATCCAAATTGCCATTCATTAATTCCCACGGTTTTTCTCAGCCACTGGTCTATGATTCTCACCCAAACTTTAAAGTTATGTGGTAGGAGCTCAATTTCTCAGTTGTTTTTGCAACCTTGAGTGTCTCTCTTTCCTTTGAAAAACTGTTTAAAATTGTTTTGCCTCCATGTCCTTGAGGTTTTCTCTTTATTATAACATAATTCAATAGCTTATTCAGGACCTGCACCCTTACTTATCTGTAAGTGCCATACTCCCACTAGTACCTCATCTGGTCCTACTAAAACCAATGCGCTGAGGATATAGATAGACACATGACTGCATGATATAACTATAATGTTATAAATGGAAACTTGGTTAAAGAAAGGCAAGGATTGCAGCTCAACACCCCTGTGTATAGAATTTCCGGGCTGAAAGAAGGTGATAAAAACAAAGGCGTACATTGTTGGTTAAATAATCGATTGTAGCATTAAGTAGGAATGATACACTAAATGAAGCATCAAATGAGACGAAATAGGCCATATGAGAAACAAAGGGAAGCTATACTGCTTACATGTATGTATAGCCCCCCAAATAGTGGGAGAGAATTAGTGGGACAAATATGTAGCAAATTCCTGAGTTCAAAAATAATAGCATAATAATATTTAGGGACCTGAACTACCCAAATACCAACTGGTATATGAACAGTGTAAAAGGTACAGAGGGCACAAAATTCTTGACTACATTCAAGAGAATTTTTTTTTGCCTGCATGCAACAAGAGAGAGGGTGTAATTCTGGATTTCGTCTTCGGAAATGAAGCTGGGCAGATAGATGCAGTAGTCGGTGATTGTTTTGGAGGCAGTAGTCTCAACACAATTAGATTTTACATCATTAGGGAAACAGACAAAGATAGAATAGCAGTAAAAGTCTACTTTGGGAGAAAGCAAACTTTTTTCAAGCTGAGAGATAATTTGGCAAAAGTGGACTGGCTACAGCTACTTAAAGAAAAGACAGTGGCAAATCATAAGAGGCATTTAAATTGAGATTCTACAGATACAGTATATGCATGTCCTCACAAAGAAAAAGGATGGTACTGCCAACTATAGAGTTCACTGGTTATCCAGAAGCGTACAGGGTGAGATAAAGAAGAACACAGCTCATGACAGTCTCAAAAAAGTAATACTTCATGAAGCATATTGAAACATATAAAGGACAGCGGTGAAATGAGAAAGGAAATTTGGAAATCAGAAAAAAAATTGGCCAATAAAATTAAGGAAAATCCAATGAGATAGTAGGAACTGCAGATGCTGGAGAATCTGAGACAACAAGGTGCAGAGCTGGATGAACACAGCAGGCCAAGCAGCATCATAGGAGCAGGAAGGCTGACGTTTCGGGCCTAGACCCTTCATCAGAAATGGGGGAGGGGAAGGGGGTTCTGAAATAAATAGGGAGAGAGGGGGAGGCGAATAGAAGATGGATAGAGGAGAAGATAGGTGGAGAGGAAACAGACAGGTCAAAGAGGCGGGGATGGAGCCAGTAAAGGTGAGTGTA